TTAATACAAAGTTGCACGCCCGACGCTAATATTAGAATTCCACACACAGTTAAATGGTCTGAGATTAGTCTACCTACTGATTGGACTTTAGTTACTGAGACCCAACCTGCCCCTATACAACGAAGTTTAAATAATTTAGATTATATTCAGCAATATGTAGATGGTACAGTTAAAAATTAATTTTGGTAATCACCCCAAGTCCTCAGTCCAATTACAACAGTTGCCTACACCTAGCCAATCCAAGAGACATACACCTGCTAGACACTCCTTCGCAGCTTCTTCCTCTACTCAAGAAAGAGACTTAGAAATAGAAAAAGCCCTATTTCATTTGAAATTAGAATCCCTTAGAAAAACAGCCCAAGTAAGCCACCCATGCTATGGAACTCCTCCTATTCCTCCAATTGCAAAAGAACCCAAACCTGAGTCTCCTCCTACTTCTCCCACACAGACAGATTTCATAGCAAGTGAGGCCAATGCTTATGTCATAGATGATCAATTAAGAGTTCTTAAGAAATCTAAACGATTTAAAATTAATTGGAAATCCTTGGATAAACACCTTTACGACCCCAAGAATGAGACTAGGAGAAATAATTATCACATAGTTGTCCCAGATAAAAACAAAAGACAAGAAATTTTTAATGATTGGAAAGACTATATGCGGTCTGCTAAAGTTGAAATTTATTATCTTGATTTTGTAGAAAGCCGCTATATTTCGAATGAGTTGAAAACCTTAACTAAAGAGAAATGGGGTAAAAGTAGATCAATCCGAAGTTATCTCTAGCCATCCCCTGTAGAAACTATTCTTATTAACCATGGAACGGCAAAAGTTGTTGCAAGTCCTTTTAAAATTACTGACCAAACAAATGATAAGAATAAGAAATTAATTGAACAAAATAATTATGCCAATCAAAGCCTAGTCATCGTAGGAAAACAATTAGATAAGATAGAAACCAAAATTGATAAGCTTTCTTCCTTCTGTGCCTAAACTCAAGTCAAAAGAAAAACCTTTAGTTTAGTTTCAAGAATTACAGCCAGTTCACTCATTGAAAACTTCATCTACTATGAAAAAGATAGAAGGTATGCTTGAGCAGTTAACTCCAGTCAAACCTGAGAAATCTGGTCTCAAAGTCTTAGGATCTTCCTCAGTTGTCCAGTCAGGTACTGATTCTGACAAAAGCAAAGAAACTATTGAGTCTAGTAATATTTCAAAAATTGAAAATGCATTCAAGAATCTAGAATTAGAATCTGAGTTAAAAGTAAAAAGATTAACTAATAGAGTTAACCCCACTAGCTTAACTAAAAATTGGTATCCTAAGCCTACACCACCTGATATCCAGTTTGAAGAAAGAAATAATTTGAGTCAATTTTCTGTTTCTTCTGATAAGTTGTATGAGTGGAATATAGATGGTTTGTCTGGGCAATAAATAATGAACAAATTAACTCATATGTCTATGGTAGCCAATAGTTATATCACTAATCATAACCTTCGTCAATCTGAGATAGTCCCTTTATAAGAAACTGGTTTTATTGGAACCTTACATTCTTGGTGGGATAAACACTTAACTGATGAGTCTAGAAGAAATATAATACATGCTATCAAACTTAATGAAGAAGGTCTCCCCATATTTGATGAGAATATAGGTCGCAGTGTAGAAGACGGAGTCAATACCCTCCTTTACACAATAGTCGATCATTTCATAGGAACACCTAGTCATACCTAAGCTAGAATACATGATCAACTAAGTAATTTAAGATGTCCTCAATTAAGTGATTTTAGATGGTATAAAGATGTTTTTATTTCCCGAGTAATGCTACGAGAAGATAGTAACCAAGCTTTTTGGAAAGAAAAATTTATTAATGGATTACCCAATTTATTCGCCCACAAAATTCGAACAGTCTTAAGTAATGAGTTAGGACATATAGATTATGATAATTTAACCTATGCTAATATAATTAGTACGATTAATCAAGAAGGTATGAAAATGTGTATCGATATGAAAATTAGTAGACAAATACAATCTGAAAGAAAATCTACTAAATATGAGTTAGGTAATTTCTGTGAACAATATGGTCTAATTGCTATCCCTCCTTCCAGAAAAAACAAGTCCAATTACCCTAGTCATATCCGTAAGAAACGACATTATGATAGAAAGAGATAATCCTTCCAACATAATAATGAACATAATGAATTCTATAAGAAAAGAAAGTTTCACCCTAGGAAAAATTGGTCAAAAGCGCCGAAATATAAAGATAAGGATAATAATCACTTTAAGAAAAGTACTGATAAAAGAAAAGTAAGATGCTATAAATGTCAAAAGTTCGGTCACTATGCTAATAAATGTAAAGTAAAAGATGCTATCCGACAGTTAAAAATAACAGATGAAGAAAAAGCCAATTTAATTAAAGTTCTTGAGATACGCAATTCCGAGTCTAGTGAAATTGAAACTGCGGTTAACAATCCTGAGTCAACTAACTATGAGTCGTCAGATTCTCAATTAAGTTCACCTAGAATCCAATTAGGATGTAGAGATAAATGCTGCAATACTTTAAAATCTATTTCTGTTTTAACTAAGCAAGAAGAACAAGAAGAATTATTAATAGATTTGATTAGCAAAATAGAAAATCCTGAGTTAAAATCTGAGTATTTAAAGAAACTTAGAAAGATCATCACTCAAGAAACTAATACAAGTTATCCGAGTTCTCCAACAGTAAGTCTTAATACTACTCTAGAAAGATTCCATAAGAAAAAGAAGTTTCTTTACAAGGCCTACATTATGAAGTAAAGATAATTAAAAAAGAAATAATTGAGTTAAAACAATTAAGCCACAAGTTACAGACTGATAATTATGGAATTAAGCAAGATTTGAACTCCCTCTTAAATAAAGAATCCTCCGAGTCTGATAGTCAACCTGGCAGTCCCTCCAATTCTGAGAAATCTTTACAGGAAGAACAAACTATTAATTTAATCAAACAAGTCCATTTTAGGAAATGGTATTCTAAAGTTACTATAGTTGTTAAAAATTTTGAAATCAACACAATCGCCTTATGCGATTCAGGAGCTGATCTTAATTGTATAAAAGAAGGTTTAATTCCCACTATGTATTATAAGAAATCTAGAGAATCCTTAAGCACCGCTTCAGGAAAGTTACTTCAATTATGCTATGAGATCCCAAAAGTCCATGTTTGTCAAATAAGATTTGTTTTAAAACTTCTTTTGTTTTAATAAAAACATAACTGATCAAGGTATTCTGGGCTTACCTTTCATAAGCCTTCTTTACCCTTTCCAAGTTGAATTTAATGGTGTGGTTTCAAGTCATTTAGGTGAAAAGGTTAGATTTGAATTTTTAACTAAACCTTTGTTACATAAGCTCACATCTTTACAAAAAAAATGTTATTGCCAAGACAATTACCTTAATAAAAGATAAAAGTAGCTAAGTGTGCCACCTTCAAGAAGAAGTAAAAACAAAGAGAATTGAGTCTCAACTAAGTAGCCCTTCCTTACCACAACAGGTCTTAGAATTTGAGAAAAAATTAATATCCGAAATATGTTCAGATCTACCCACTGCTTTTTGGCATAGAAAGAATCATGTTGTAAGTTTGCCTTATGTTAAGAATTTTTCTGAGAAAAATATCCCTACCAAAGCCCGATCAATTCAGATGAGTCAAGACATGATGGAATTTTGCAAAACTGAAATTAATGAGTTATTACAGAAAAATATAATTAGGAAAAGCAAGTCACCATGGTCGTGTCTTGCTTTTTATGTCCAAAAGAATGCTGAATTAGAAAGAGGATCTCCAAGATTAGTCATTAACTATAAACCACTTAATACTGTGCTAGAATGGATTAGATACCCTATTCCTAATAAGAGAGATTTAATTAATCGCTTAAGCAAAGCTGTTATTTTCTCCAAATTTGATATGAAGAGTGGGTTCTGGCAAATTCAAATCACTGAGTATGATAGATACAAAATTGCTTTTGTCACTCCCTTTGGACATTATGAATGGAATGTTATGCCTTTTGGTCTTAAGAACGCGCCTAGTGAGTTTCAAAATATAATGAATGAGATTTTTAATCCTTATAGTCATTTCTCTATTGTTTATATTGATGATGTTCTTATTTTCTCCCAAACCATAGAACAACATTGGAAGCACCTGCATAAGTTTTTTCAAATAGTCAAGTCAAATGGATTAGTTGTCTCTGCCCCTAAGATTAAGTTTATTTCAAACCAATATTAGATTCCTTGGCTTTAATATTAATCAATCGCAGATCCGTCCAATAGATAGAGTTATCCAATTTGCAGATAAGTTTCTTAATCAAATAATTGACAAAAATCAATTGCAGAGATTTTTAGGTTCTCTTAATTATGTTTCTAACTTCTATCAAAATCTGAGAAAACTGTGTAAGCCTTTGTTTGACAGATTACAGAGTAATCCTCCTCCTTGGTCATCCATTCATACTGAGATCGTTAAACAAATCAAGAGTATGTTAAGACACTTCCTTGTCTTGGCATTCCTACAATAGATTCCTTTAAAATAGTTGAAACAGATACTTCTGAGATAGGATATGGTGGGATTCTTAAGCAAAAAACTACTTCTACTCCTTCTAAGCAAATTGTTCGCTTCTATTCTGGTATTTGGACCCAGTCGCAATCTAATTATAGTACTATTAAAAAAGAAATACTAGCTATTGTATTATGCATTACTAAATTCCAAGATGATTTATAAATCAAAAAATTTTAGTCAAAGTTGATCGTAAATCTGCTAAGCATGTATTAGAAAAAGATGTTCAAAATATTGCATCAAAACAAATCATTGCACGATGGCAAGCTATTTTAAGCATTTTTTTATTTCAAAATTGAATATTTGAGAGGAAGTGAGAATTCTGTCTCTGATTTTCTTACTAGAGAATTCCTGTTTGATAAGCAATGGTCGGCAGAAAAGATAAACAAAAAGAGAATCAAAGCCAACCCTCCCAGTTGCCCAGAATCCTCCCTGCATTAATGAGTCAAAAGATGGTCAAAACCGAGTGTAGTTGCTCTTCTCTCCCTAAGCCTGAGTCACCCTCTTTAGTTGTTCCTTATCCTGGTTTCTCTCCAATCCCAGTTGTTAATCGTTATAGTCCTTTAGGTACCACTGTTGGCCAATTTCACCCAAATTATCAATCTGCCTTAGTTTCCAGCTATGATCCCTTTCAGCTTTCTTCAACCGCTACTCCTGTCTCTTCCTACCCTAAATCATCTCCTTATGTTCATAAGAGTAGTTCTAATCTTCATGGTCAAGACCCCAATGAAGACTACCCGGCCTACGACATGAATTCAGACTAAAGCAAATCCTTCATTATGAGATTCCCCTGAGTAAAAGCAAAAGTTGGCCAGTAAAAGCATGAGTTAAAAGCAGAATACAAAATTGAAAGTTGAATTAGTAAAAGCAGATTCCTTGAGTTCCTATTGTTGTTTTTCAGATCATTGTTTCTGAGAGAACATTTGAACTGAGAAACTGAAATTTCGCTCTTTTACTAATTCAACTTTCAATTTTGTCTTCTACTTTTAACTCATGCTTTACTGGCCAGCTTTTGCTTTTAATCAGGGGAATCTCATAATGAAGGATTTGCTTTAGTCTGAATTCAGGTCGTAGGCTGGGTAGTCTTCATTGGGGTCTTGACCATGTGGATAGTCAGACCATCTCAAAGGGCAATCAGGACTTTTTTGACTAGAGGAGAGAGGGCGATAGCTGGAGGACAACTGAGACTCATTGTCTTCATCATCATTCATTCGAGAGGCTTGGAGCATCAGTTTTCATGCAATGTCTTGGAGCTCAGCTTTAGACTTTCCTTCGACGGAGAGGGAGGTATGAGAGAATTGAGAAAAGGAGGACTTCTGCTTAGGCAACTGAGGCGCAGGTACTTGAGGAAAATCTCTGTAAACATACTCAGCAATTCGGGGAACCTCAAAGCGATCCCACCACTTAACAGAAAATTGGCGGGAGAAAGTTATTGTCTCCCAATTAACTACATAATGCCACTTTAGTATCCAAGGAATTTTATAATGGGCAATAAAATGTTGGGACTTGGAAAAAATAAATCTCGCTCAGAGAACTTATATTTTTGGGCAAAATAGGTGATTAACTCAGTAACTTGGGACGGTAGAATTTCAGATTTAGGACCATGGGTATCCCACCAATGGAGGAACCAATAGGGAAACTCACTGTGAAATTTACTATCAAAGTTTATGAACCAGGAATGGGAAAAATCAGCTATTTGGTGCAAGAAAATATAATACCAGGACTCAATGTAATCAGTATAATTATATTGAAATTTGGATGGAAGGGTTCGTAACTCATAGGGATGTGCTCCCTAACTTTTTTGGCTCAGGATTTGGTGAATGTAAAGGGAATGATAAAGGATATTTTGAGGATCTTGTTTATCACGGATAGGCATAATGTCAACTGATTGGGTCTCATGGAGGATTTCTCGGTAAAATTTTAAGGTGTATAAGGACTTTGTGGCAGGAAACGAAAACCACTGGGGAAATGCTCTTTTGCAATCATGGCAGGACTCATTATTTCAGGAATATGAGGCTCAATGATAAAAAGATTAGAACTACTCTTATGAACATAAGGAGATGATTTAGGGTAGGAAGAGACAGGAGTAGCGGTTGAAGAAAGCTGAAAGGGATCATAGCTGGAAACAAAGGCAGATTGATAATTTGGGTGAAATTGGCCAACCGTGGTACCTAAAGGACTGTAACGATTAACAACTGGGATTGGAGAGAAACCAGGATAAGGAACAACTGAAGAGGGTGACTCAGGCTTAGGGAGAGAAGAGCAACTACACTCGGTTTTGACCATCTTTTGACTCATTAATGCAGGGAGGATTCTGGGCAACTGGGAGGGTTGGCTTTGATTCTCTTTTTGTTTATCTTTTCTACCGGCCATTGCTTATCCAACAGGAATTCTCTAGTAAGAAAATCAGAGACAGAATTCTCACTTCCTCTCAAATATTCAATTTTGAAATAAATAAAAATGCTTAAAATAGCTTGCCATCGTGCAATGATTTGTTTTGATGCAATATTTTGAACATCTTTTTCTAATACATGCTTAGCAGATTTATGATCAAGTCTGACTAAAATTTTTTGATTTAATAAATCATCTTGGAATTTAGTAATGCATAATACAATAGCTAGTATTTCTTTTTAATAGTACTATAATTAGATTGCGACTAGGTCCAAATACCAGAATAGAAGCGAACAATTTGCTCAGAAGGAGTAGAAGTAGTTTTTTGCTTAAGAATCCCACCATATCCTATCTCAGAAGTATCTGTTTCAACTATTTTAAAGGAATCTACTGTAGGAATGCCAAGACAAGGAAGTGTCTTAACATGACTCTTGATTTGTTTGACGATCTCAGTATGAATGGATGACCAAGGAGGAGGATTACTCTGTAATCTGTCAAACAAAGGCTTACACAGTTTTCTCAGATTTTGATAGAAGTTAGAGACATAATTAAGAGAACCTAAAAATCTCTGCAACTGATTTTTGTCAATTATTTGATCAAGAAACTTATCTGCAAATTGGATAACTCTATCTATTGGACGGATCTGCGACTGATTAATATTAAAGCCAAGGAATCTAATATTGGTTTGAAATAAACTTAATCTTAGGGGCAGAGACAACTAATCCATTTGACTTGACTATTTGAAAAAACTTATGCAGGTGCTTCCAATGTTGTTCTATGGATTGGGAGAAAATAAGAACATCATCAATATAAACAATAGAGAAATGACTATAAGGATTAAAAATCTCATTCATTATATTTTGAAACTCACTAGGCACGTTCTTAAGACCAAAAGGCATAACATTCCATTCATAATGTCCAAAGGGAGTGACAAAAGCAATTTTGTATCTATCATACTAAGTGATTTGAATTTGCCAGAACCAACTCTTCATATCAAATTTGGAGAAAATAACAGCTTTGCTTAAGCGATTAATTAAATCTCTCTTATTAGGAATAGGGTATCTAATCCATTCTAGCACAGTATTAAGTGGTTTATAGTTAATGACTAATCTTGGAGATCCTCTTTCTAATTCAGCATTCTTTTGGACATAAAAAGCAAGACACGACCATGGTGACTTGCTTTTCCTAATTATATTTTTCTGTAATAACTCATTAATTTCAGTTTTGCAAAATTCCATCATGTCTTGACTCATCTGAATTGATCGGGCTTTGGTAGGGATATTTTTCTCAGAAAAATTCTTAACATAAGGCAAACTTACAACATGATTCTTTCTATGCCAAAAAGCAGTGGGTAGATCTGAACATATTTCGGATATTAATTTTTTCTCAAATTCTAAGACCTGTTGTGGTAAGGAAGGGCTACTTAGTTGAGACTCAATTCTCTTTGTTTTTACTTCTTCTTGAAGGTGGCACACTTAGCTACTTTTATCTTTTATTAAGGTAATTGTCTTGGCAATAACATTTTTTTGTAAAGATGTGAGCTTATGTAACAAAGGTTTAGTTAAAAATTCAAATCTAACCTTTTCACCTAAATGACTTGAAACCACACCATTAAATTCAACTTGGAAAGGGTAAAGAAGGCTTATGAAAGGTAAGCCCAGAATACCTTGATCAGTTATGTTTTTTATTAAAACAACAGAAGTTTTAAAACAAATCTTATTTTGACAGACATGGACTTTTGGGATCTCATAGCATAATTGAAGTAACTTTCCTGAAGCGGTGCTTAAGGATTCTCTAGATTTCTTATAATACATAGTGGGAATTAAACCTTCTTTTATACAATTAAGATCAGCTCCTGAATCGCATAAGGCGATTGTGTTGATTTCAAAATTTTTAACAACTATAGTAACTTTAGAATACCATTTCCTAAAATGGACTTGTTTGATTAAATTAATAGTTTGTTCTTCCTGTAAAGATTTCTCAGAATTGGAGGGACTGCCAGGTTGACTATCAGACTCGGAGGATTCTTTATTTAAGAGGGAGTTCAAATCTTGCTTAATTCCATAATTATCAGTCTGTAACTTGTGGCTTAATTGTTTTAACTCAATTATTTCTTTTTTAATTATCTTTACTTCATAATGTAGGCCTTGTAAAGAAACTTCTTTTTTCTTATGGAATCTTTCTAGAGTAGTATTAAGACTTACTGTTGGAGAACTCGGATAACTTGTATTAGTTTCTTGAGTGATGATCTTTCTAAGTTTCTTTAAATACTCAGATTTTAACTCAGGATTTTCTATTTTGCTAATCAAATCTATTAATAATTCTTCTTGTTCTTCTTGCTTAGTTAAAACAGAAATAGATTTTAAAGTATTGCAGCATTTATCTCTACATCCTAATTGGATTCTAGGTGAACTTAATTGAGAATCTGACGACTCATAGTTAGTTGACTCAGGATTGTTAACTGCAGTTTTAATTTCACTAGACTCGGAATTGCGTATCTCAAGAACTTTAATTAAATTGGCTTTTTCTTCATCTGTTATTTTTAACTGTCGGATAGCATCTTTTACTTTACATTTATTAGCATAGTGACCGAACTTTTGACATTTATAGCATCTTACTTTTCTTTTATCAGTACTTTTCTTAAAGTGATTATTATCCTTATCTTTATATTTTGGCGCTTTTGACCAATTTTTCCTAGGGTGAAACTTTCTTTTCTTATAGAATTCATTATGTTCATTATTATGTTGGAAGGATTATCTCTTTCTATCATAATGTCGTTTCTTACGGATATGACTAGGGTAATTGGACTTGTTTTTTCTGGAAGGAGGGATAGCAATTAGACCATATTGTTCACAGAAATTACCTAACTCATATTTAGTAGATTTTCTTTCAGATTGTATTTGTCTACTAATTTTCATATCGATACACATTTTCATACCTTCTTGATTAATCGTACTAATTATATTAGCATAGGTTAAATTATCATATTCTATATGTTCTAACTCATTACTTAAGACTGTTTGAATTTTGTGGGCGAATAAATTGGGTAATCCATTAATAAATTTTTCTTTCCAAAAAGCTTGGTTACTATCTTCTCGTAGCATTACTCGGGAAATAAAAACATCTTTATACCATCTAAAATCACTTAATTGAGGACATCTTAAATTACTTAGTTGATCATGTATTCTAGCTTAGGTATGACTAGGTGTTCCTATGAAATGATCGACTATTGTGTAAAGGAGGGTATTGACTCCGTCTTCTACACTGCGACCTATATTCTCATCAAATATGGGGAGACCTTCTTCATTAAGTTTGATAGCATGTATTATATTTCTTCTAGACTCATCAGTTAAGTGTTTATCCCACCAAGAATGTAAGGTTCTAATAAAACCAGTTTCTTATAAAGGGACTATCTCAGATTAACGAAGGTTATGATTAGTGATATAACTATTGGCTACCATAGACATATGAGTTAATTTGTTCATTATTTATTGCCCAGACAAACCATCTATATTCCACTCATACAACTTATCAGAAGAAATAGAAAATTGACTCAAATTATTTCTTTCTTCAAACTGGATATCAGGTGGTGTAGGCATATTATACCAATTTTTAGTTAAGCTAGTGGGGTTAACTCTATTAGTTAATCTTTTTACTTTTAACTCATATTCTAATTCTAGATTCTTGAATGCATTTTCAATTTTTGAAATATTACTAGACTCAATAGTTTCTTTGCTTTCGTCAGAATCAGTACCTGACTGGACAACTGAGGAAGATCCTAAGACTTTGAGACCAGATTTCTCAGGTTTGACTGGAGTTAACTGCTCAAGCATACCTTCTATCTTTTTCATAGTAGATGAAGTTTTCAATGAGTCAACTGGCTGTAATTCTTGAAACTAAACTAAAGGTTTTTCTTTTGACTTGAGTTTAGGCACAGAAGGAAGAAGCTTATCAATTTTGGTTTCTATCTTATCTAATTGTTTTCCTACGATGACTAGGCTTTGATTGGCATAATTATTTTGTTCAATTAATTTCTTATTCTTATCATTTGTTTGGTAAGTAATTTTAAAAGGACTTGCAACAACTTTTGCCGTTCCATGGTTAATAAGAATAGTTTCTACAGGGGGATGGCTAGAGATAACTTCGGATTGATCTACTTTTACCCATTTCTCTTTAGTTAAGGTTTTCAACTCATTCGAAATATAGCGGCTTTCTACAAAATCAAGATAATAAATTTCAACTTTAGCAGACCGCATATAGTCTTTCCAATCATTAAAAATTTCTTGTCTTTTGTTTTTATCTGGGACAACTATGTGATAATTATTTCTCCTAGTCTCATTCTTGGGGTCGTAAAGGTGTTTATCCAAGGATTTCCAATTAATTTTAAATCGTTTAGATTTCTTAAGAACTCTTAATTGATCATCTATGACATAAGCATTGGCCTCACTTGCTATGAAATCTGTCTGTGTGGGAGAAGTAGGAGGAGACTCAGGTTTGGGTTCTTTTGCAATTGGAGGAATAGGAGGAGTTCCATAGCATGGGTGGCTTACTTGGGCTGTTTTTCTAAGGGATTCTAATTTCAAATGAAATTAGGGCTTTTTCTATTTCTAAGTCTCTTTCTTGAGTAGAGGAAGAAGCTGCGAAGGAGTGTCTAGCAGGTGTATGTCTCTTGGATTGGCTAGGTGTAGGCAACTGTTGTAATTGGACTGAGGACTTGGGGTGATTACCAAAATTAATTTTAACTGTACCATCTACATATTGCTGAATATAATCTAAATTATTTAAACTTCGTTGTATAGGGGCAGGTTGGGTCTCAGTAACTAAAGTCCAATTAGTAGGTAGACTAATCTCAGACCATTTAACTGTGTGTGGAATTCTAATATTAGCGTCAGGCG